ACTCTTTCAATCCAGAAGGTCCTGCCATCTCTTTTTTTCCAAGCTGTGCATGTGTGTGCTTGAATGATGTAAAGCATCATCATGTGATAGTGAGAAGCACTATATATTTCTTAAGAATAAATTTCGAAGTTTGTAAAAAAATTATGTATATATGCAGTATAAGCTCACACATCCATTCTCTTTTTTGCACCATTTTTGTGAAAACTTGTAACTTGAAAATTGTATAGGCTTTCATCATGTAAAACTGCAGTGGTTTCCCTTTGTTCTTGTTCACACTTGTGCACAAATATACACGTCTGCTTTTATGTATGCATGCAAACTACAGCAAAAGCTTTGTTATCTAGCACCCATGGGAAATGGGGGGTGCCAGATAACAAAATATGCCAGTTAATTGAGAGGCCCGAACAGAGGTCTTTGTCTGTTCAGGCCACCGGTTTTCCCGCCGTGTCCGGGGCATCGCCACCCCTCCCGCCACATCGCTGACCCTCCCGCAGGCCCCAAGGGACAGGGAGGCGGGCCCTGTGCAAGCCATAGTGGGCACTTCTGGTTTTGCTTTTACCTTACAAGCTGGCATGCCGATTTAATAGAGCGTGCCAGCTTGTAAGGTGCCAATTAAGGAAGCTTTTACTGTATCTTCTTCATGTTCAAATGCATTGTTCCAGTCCTGCAGTCTGATACATGCACATACATGTCACGTACAGGTGTTAAGTTTCTACTGGGAGAATTGCAGCTTTCCTGGTAGAAATCACGAGCATACAGATATTCACACCTGAATAAAAATTGCAGTTCCAGGAGAAAAAAAAAATCCCCAACCTGGAGAACAAGTGCCAGTACACTTCCTTGCTACTCAACTCCTCCTGGAGACCAGGAGGGGTTGAGAAACAGGGCAATGCTCCCCATACCTTCCTGAGAAGGGGGTCACCCTGGTTTGGGAAAGGCATGGGAAACAGTCGCTGTTTGCCTCTTACCTGTCCCAAGAATAGTTGAGTGGTGGGGAAAGGCTCCCTTGTCTTCCATAACCCTGGTCACCCCTCTGGAGAAGATGTGGGGTGGGCAGCTGCTCTCACCCTTCATATAGTTAGGATGGGGAAGAAAGGTACAGCCACTCTTTGCTCCCTGCCCACTCCTTAGATCAGGGTCGCCAGTCTGAGAAGCAGGTTGGGGGCTTTGCCTGCTGCTCCAGTCCCTTCCACCTACCCGCTGGGATTAAGACGACTGGAGCAGTTGCTACTTTCCAAGCTTTCTGTAGCCTGGGATTACCCTGGTTTTAGAAAGGTGCAAGAAGCAGTGGGGAGGTAGGCAGCTGCAGTCTGAATGCTTGTACTGCTCCCTCTCCCTGAAACATGTTTCTAGCAGTGGAAAATGTCTACCGTTAGAAATTAATGCCTGTTTGTGGCTGAAGACTGTTGAGGGAGGTTCTGTTTTAAACCTGCAAGTACTCCAGTAGAAAAAATGTGATAAAATCTGAGGTTGACTTTACCCAAGGGAAGTCATTTAGTTTACTTAAGATGAGCTGACACTGCTGTATGTTTGTATATATTGTTGCTTTACTCAAAAGACCTTCTTAACATCCATTTGAACAGTGAATGTGGGGAGAGAGCCCTAAAAAGCATTATTTTTGTGACAGTACCTCAGATCTGTTACACTTGCACATGATAATTTACGGGTACAGTATGTCTTCTAAAGTACCAGAGCCTTTGCACACTCCCATGCTTCTAGATGTTCATTGACTGCTTGATTACTAGAATATTTTGAGTGAAGAACACAATGCAACTTGGACTTCTCCTAAATTTGAAAAAAATGCTTAGTTGTTAAATTAACTGTAAAGTATTCCGAGCTCTGAAAAGTATTCTGAGCTATGCTTCCATTTTCATGAGTTGCTCCCTGATTATTCAGCCCTAATTTATGCTAAATCAGAATACTTTAGTCTCTTCTAAGATTGTACCTATCAGTGTTAGTGGATTCTCCACCTGCAACTTCACATCTTGTTGGGTCAGTCAGCGATCCCACAAGAGAATCTGCACCGCTCATGGCAGTCAGTGGAGGATGCTGCTTCGACATCAGAAGTGGCATGTACTTGTCCTGTACTTGTTCTTAGCTGCCACCTGACAGGTACAGTATGCTGCTGCCTATTCAGAAGCTAAAGGCATGCATCTCTACAAGTGCAGTTTTTTGTATGATCAGTATAACTTCATTGATCTTAACATATGTTGATTTATACCAATTGAGGATTGAGCCTACAAATCCTAGTTTTATAGCTGTTAATTGAAAAATCCCCAAGTTCAATTTTCTGACTTGACAATATGCTTGTAATTGCAGATCTGGGCATCATTAATAAAGTGAGTCAGTGATCCTTGTGGTTGCAGGATTTGGGGAAGTTACAAGTGGGAGAGGAAATAAACCCTTATTTGCTGGGTGTTGTTTTGCATATTTGGATATTCATTTCATGGGTGTATTGAGAGTTGTCTCTCAGTAAAAGTTGTGGATTATAGGCTAAGTGTAGAAATGGTATTCCCAAGCCCGCTAGTTTCTTTAAACATTTATGCAGGTTTAAAACTTACTTCTTACCCAGGTAAAAGAACCCATTGACTTTAATGACCATTTTCCCCAAGTAAAGACTTTAAAGTGTGGCTTTGTCTGTAATGTCCCCTATGCCAGGCACACATTAAAACCAAAGCATAATGGTTTTATATATATTTAAAACTAATAGAGGGCTGAAACCACTAATGTAATGAAGAACTTGTGAGTACAAATCCCAGCCCTGGCAGTGACTACCGACTTCCTTTGTAACCATAGTCAACTCGCCTGTCGGCTCTGTAAAAATGGAAAGGCTCTGAAGATGCACAAGGAAATCTTTGTAAACCTTTCTGAAGATAACTATTTGCGTGTGGAGCACTGTCATTATTTTATCAGTATATTTGGTGGTTTATATTCTGCATCTAGCAAGCCAGTGCCTTCTCAACTTCTTAGTATTTGCTTTGGGTATTTTCCTTTACTGTTTTACCACAGGTGGTCATGATCTTACAGTCTGATTCATGCAGCCGTTCATTGCCTATGCAGCACTCCAAGACTAAGACCTTGCAGTCTGCTGCTTGGTGCTGCAGGACAGGACTCTTAGTTTTACATGGCCAGTCACATGACTGATGCTTTACTGCAGACCTTATCCAGCTGCTGGCATCAACAGAAGGGCTCCCATTTATTGAACTGGAAGCTGGATCAGGCCATATGTAGCAACAGGCAAGACCTCACTTAAAGACCGAATGCTAATGAGGAGGGCTCAGTGTGCCTCTGAAAGATCAGGACTTCAGCTGAAGTTGATAGACCTCAGCCACATACTTATTGCTTCTTCTGCAGGCTGCTCTAAACCGAGGCAAAATGGCCAAGGGAGTTGTTGTCAGGAACTAGCTGTTCAGATATCTGAGTTCTTTTCTCAGCTTTGCTGTTGGCTTATGGTGTGACCTTGGGCAAGTCATACTTAACTCTCCCTGTGCCTCAGTTTCCCCACCTGTAAAATGGGGGATAATAATGCTTACCTTTGTAAAGCACTTTGATCTCTTTGGATGAAAGATGCTCTATAAGTGCAAAGTATTATTATTATTATTTACTACACACAATGGAAATTCTTGCACTGATCGTGTCTTGTTTTCTGTTGGCTTGGTCTTTTTTTTTGTGTTTAGGGAGAACCATAGCGAAATTGAAAGACGCCGGAGAAATAAGATGACACAATACATCACTGAGCTGTCTGACATGGTACCCACCTGCAGTGCGCTGGCCCGTAAACCTGACAAGCTGACAATTCTCCGAATGGCTGTTTCTCACATGAAGTCTATGAGGGGCACTGGAAATAAGTCTACTGATGGAGCATATAAACCTTCTTTCCTAACAGAGCAGGTAGTTGATTCGTAAATATTTTCCTTCCACAATCTGTATTGCTAATACCATGAAAAGAGTTGAGCCAGGATCATCTATCAGTAAGTTCCTGACTTTGTTTACCTTGTCTCATTTAACAAGAGCCCTGAAACAGTATTCTGGATATAAACACACACGGGTATTTTGGAAAAATCTGGACCTGGTTCTGAACCACATACATCAAGCCCTGTCTTTAAAACCTCAGAACTGTCAAGTTTGGGTCCGAACTTGGTGACTAAGGCTTCTTTCTAGTGTCTTGTTTGCTGTATGCAAAGAGCAATAACTCCCTTTTCTGTGTGAAAGGATACTAGGTTCTGCTGTATCCACTGGCAGCTCCTAATGGCTTCAGCCACTCTAGAAGTCGGAGGCATGCAACATGCACGCTTTTGCTCTTCGCAGTTAAGTGCTTACATAAGTAAAGCATGGCTCGAGGTTGTCCGTGTTTGTTAAGTTAGCAGCTGTTGGTGTTTGACTCTCACTGCTCAAGTCTCTGCTTCATTTTCCCTTTCTTTGAACAATAATCACATTCAGAAATGGTGGTGTTATTCTGTATCGTTTAAAAATGGGGTCACTCCATCTCTGCAAGGTACAGTTGACTGTGTAGTGAGGCAAGCTGTTTTAACAGAATTGTCTTGTTTTTCTTTTGGGTATTTCACAAATAAGACAGGTTGGCAAAAGCAGGTGGTTTATCGGTGGTTTTCATGGTGGTTAGCATGTCGTAGGTGCTAGTAAGGGTTTATCAGGGTGCAGTGGCAGAGTGGCTAAGGTGTCTCTTTATGACTTGAGAAATGTGAGTTTGAGGCCTGCTCTGGACTTATGCCAAAGGCTGTCACCAGTCAGTTCAGCTGTACCTCTCATATGGCCTGTAGAATCAAAGGTGCTTAGATGTGGTGCTAGTCATATCACACCTTTAATGTGCTGTTGGCTACAAAAACTGGAATGCCTTGACCATGCTAGCCCTGAGGATCATTAGACTAACAAGGACTTCTGACCTTGATTTTTGATAACACATTATTAGTCTTTGATCAGGACATGCCACCTTCCATGGAGTTCTGTCTGTTCTAAGCCAGGATACAACTGGGACTATCCCACATCATGTCTTCCTGGCTAAGCCTCTTAGTGCATCTCAATGCATGCAGTCAGATGCGAGGAGAGCAGTTGAAGTGTGGTTCCAGGCCTAGTGCAAAGGCGTAATTGTTGGTTTGCTGTCTCTTCTGTATCGTAGACTCAGTCACAGAAGTCTGGGGCAGCTCTTGAAGACCCTGGCTTTGAAGACTGTATGTTTGATCAGTATTGTGACATAGAAGATGGGGATTTGCCAGAGAAACCTCACTTGCTGTCAGACAAGCTGCAGATACAGGGTTGTGTTGGTGCTGAATAGTCTTGACTAAGCCAGAATAAAACAATAAGCCATGTTTTTTCCTCCCTATTGACCAAAGTTACCCTTTTAGATATGGGCAAAAAGCTGTGCGCCCCATGCTCTGGCGTCTTCCCTATGGTAGTTGTCTTCTGGCAGAAGACTTGTGAGGTGGACAAGCCTTTAGACACCTGACTCCAGTGGGCAGAGAGGTCCCATCCACTTGGGTTTCACTCCTTAGTGATTAGGGCACTCCTTTGGAGGGAGTCCTGAGTTTCAGTCCTTGTTTCCTTGATAATTTCTGTATTTTATCCGATGACAGTTTTGTGTAAAATCCAAATACAGTCCTTGGAGCTGTGGCTGTTTCATCCCTATTAAATTTTATAGGACGTTTCAATGAGTTGGAACTGGTTATGGTTTATAGCATGGTTTTTTTCCCTGTTCATAATTTAATTCACCTTTTTATGATGAAAACCCATCACAGAGGCTCAATTAATTTTTCTAAAGTGCATTAAGATAATCAAAGGAAAGCAGATATGGGAATGCAGTGCAGTTGGTTGTAACAAAGATAAGCAATGTACACTTTAGTGCCTGAGACGCTAGAAACGTTCACTTGTATTTTATGGCAAGATGGTGTTGTATGTTGCTAGTGACAGGTGCGTACTTTGATTTCCTTTTCTTGCTGGCAACCTAATTGAATCCGTCCTTTGCCAGGAGCTGAAACATCTTATCCTGGAGGCTGCAGATGGGTTCCTGTTTGTGGTTGCAGCTGAGACGGGAAGAGTGATTTACGTATCGGATTCGGTTACTCCCGTGCTGAACCAGCCCCAGTCAGAATGGTTTGGCAGCACTCTGTATGAGCAGGTTCATCCAGATGACGTGGAAAAACTGCGAGAACAACTGTGTACATCCGAAAACTCTATGACAGGTCAGATGTTTCTGATGTGTGGTTCATTGTATTATGGCCCCCTCCTGAGCTCAGCTGAAGTTTAACATCCCAGTTTTAACAAACAGGTTAAAACTCGGGTCAATTTATTCTTTTAATCTATGAAAAAAGCAGTTCAATTCTGGGAGATCTGGCTGCCATTTTCTGCTGTCTGTAATAATACACCGGAATTATTTATTTTATTTATTTATTTTTGTATGGTTACCATCTGCTCCCTGCTGACCTTTCTTTACTCTTGGCTTATGAGCCACTTCAACTTTGCTCTGCCTTCAGATTTCTGGCTCATCTTGTTCTGGTTTCCAGATTGCTTTCCTTTCACATCCCGTGTTGCTTTTTACTGCTTTGCAAATGTGTATTTTCTTTATGCCTGTGTCTGTTTTGAAACCTAAAATCATTTTTCAACCTTTTTTTCCTTTTCTTTCATAAAAGTTTATTGCAGTTTGTTGACAGGAATACTATTGAAAAAGATCTAATGCTTGGCAGCTAGGACTCACATATGGCTTTGCTGCCATTAGCCTACGATACATGATTTACAAAGGTTATGTGCTTTTTATATCCTTGTGAAGCAATTTAAACATGGACATTTTCAATATGCAACTGTGTGGGTTTTGAAGCCTCCAAGGCTGAGTACCACCAAGGTTGCTCTCATTAATGAAGTGTGCTAGAACTAATAGATGGAGTTAAATCCCATTTTAACTGAAACTTGAAAAGCAGAAAATCGGAGGATTGTTTTTCTTTTTTTTTTTTAATTGGTGCCTACTCTCATTCCTTTTATCCAATGTTTATAGTTCAAAAATATGCAAGCTAGATTAGAGCTGTGCAAAATATTTAGAACAAAACCCCAAACCAGGCAAAACTTTCACAGCTTTTCCTTGCATAGGAACTGACTTGTTTTGCTGGAAATTTTGCTGCGTTTCATAACCAAAAGGACTGTGCCCCAGTTTTGATTGAACCTGTGCACTGTGTTTCTGGCTTCCATATCAAAACGGAGCCAAAGTCATGGTTTCCTGTGGTTTTGATGTGCTGTGGTTTTGGCAGAGTTTTGCTTGATTTCAAATGAGAAACTCAAAGCAAAGCTTTGTGGTGAATATTCACATGGATCAAAACCAAGTGAATGCTTGCTGGAACCTGTGTGGAGCAAAAACAGCTGAGTGTCACGTAGCCCTGTTTCTGTACTGTTTAAGGACATGGGTGAGCACACTTCTCTCACACGCATCATTTATTGCAGAGCATTTCCCATTAAGAAGCTGTTACCTCAGACACTCATTTAACCCTTGGGTTTGGATTTTTACAAATCCTCAAAGTTGTTCGGTGTCTGTTCAAACAGGAACAATGTTAGGCCCATGCTGAGTAACTCTGAAAATCCAGCTTTTCATAGATGCATGCACTTTTAATCACAGGCTTTATATGTCATTAAACCTGGCTTTGCACAAAGAAAATAATATTAAAAAACTGAATGCTTTTGGATGAGATCCCTTTGAGTCACAGATCAACACGAACAGTGTCTTTGATTTGCCTTACATGGACAGTTGAGCATTTTCCTAGTGTGAGGAAGTTATCAGCCAGCATAAAACCAATGTAGCAAGTTCTGTATTACCCTTCCTGGCTCAGTTCTTGGAATAGCAGGGAGCATGCTGGTTATAGAAAAGGGCTTTTTAGGGTGACTGGAGCCACTGCAAGTGAGTTCTGAGAAAAGTAGTTCATAGTTTCTTCCAACCTGTGCTGGACCACAAGCTGTAGGCCCAGTTCCTTCACAGGATCATAACAATTTAGCATACTGAGCATCTAAACAGATGGAAGCATGTCCAGCAGCTTGATTTTTTTTTTTATATGCAGCCATGAGAATTGAATGTACACATTAGACATTTCATTGCACACCTGTTGCCTGCACAGGCATTGCAGGTGAGGTGATCGTTAAGGAGGTTTTGTTTAAAAAAATAAAATAAAATGCCTAGCAGGTGACAGTCACTGTCAGATATTCTCTGTCTTTAGTGTGGGTTCTGGGTTCTGTTTGTTTTGTGATGTCACTGGTGGAATTTATCAACTGTTCCATTAAAACTACTGTGCCGTACACTGTATGGACAATGACAGACTCTTAATGTTAAAGTTATATTTTTCAATTCTTCAGTCTACCATGCCAGGATAAGCCCATCCGCCATCAAGACTGTCAAATCAAGCTTGATCTGTGTATAAAATGGCATCCTGTGGCCATTCAAGATCCATTTCTTTTGCCTTTTGATATCCCTCTTCTGTGGATAGTAGTTCCGCAGTGCACCTTGACCCCTGACACCCCATACCATAAGCCACCCCAAATTGAGCAGCAGGTTGTAACTTCCATATTGGTGAATTTAAACAATGAATGAATGAATTAACACTTTTTAAAAGGAATGAGGTAGACAAGTGAGTTTCCCTCAAGCCAGTGTTTATCTAACCATCCGGGCAGTCCCCAAGCCTCTCTGCTTTCCAAGGTTTTATTCAGAACAAAGGGCAATGCAGGACTTGAAAGAGAAGCCAACTACAAACCAGCCAGCTGCTTGTTTGACTTTCCTACTAAAAGTGCAGTTCACCACAGGCAGCAGGAAAATCCACATCCCTCCATAACTAGCAGCTGCTGAGTAGAGGGGCCATTTAGGGAAACAGAGGGATTTTCAGGTGAAAGTTTAGTGAAATGTTATGATTTTTGATACTCTCACTCCCTTTAAGTGTTCATTTCCTCTGTCCTGTAACTACCGCCTCCTTCACCTGTTGATGTTTGGGAATAGTGACACTATGTTGGCATCAGAGGAGTATTCAGTGTCACATTACATCTCTGGTATCCACCATATGTGTGGTACCATATGATACGAATGCAGAGTATTATTAGCGTATTGTTGGGACTTGGTATGTGAAGATAGCAGCTGTTGGCAATGATCAGGGATCCTGGTTTTCTCTGATTAAAAAAACATGACAAATCCTGTGATTAAAAACCCCCCAAATCCGTGGTTAAAATGAAATGACACTTTATATAGGTATCAACTGAACACAATGTTTTCTCAATATATTTACAATTTCAAAGCAATTTGGAAGCCTACCAGTGCCTCAGTCACTATAACAAAATACATTCTAAATACCTATACATTTTCATATTTGATTTGGGGGGGTTTTATCATGAAAAATCAGAGCTTCCCCTGCCCCCTTTGCTCACAGAATGCAGGTCCAGGCCCCTCACTCCCAAGCCACAGCCCCCGGCCCTGCAGGTGCCCCTCACTCCCCACCCACTGCCTCCAACTTTGCCAGTGCCTTTTACTTCTCCTGCTCCCCCCCCAGTTCTGCTGAAGTTGCCGACATGAGCAGATTGACTTTTATTAGTAGATGTTTAGGATTGTAAATCCAAGAAAAAAGACGACAAAGCCGATAGGGAAATACAGAGCGCCCGGGCGCGACACTGAGAGAAAAAGAGGATAGAAACACACAAACCCGTTACAATGGTCCGCAATGGTGGAAGAAGTGGTCCGAAGAAAAAGTGTGTCAGTCTATATACAGTCTCATCGCGGGGGTCCTCTTCGGGTGCTGCAGGGTCGTACACACCTCATTTTCTCATGTACCATGTACCCCCAAATAATAAGAGAGACATCTTGTTTTTTTTGGAATGCAGAAGGAAGGAGAAAAAATTATTCTGGAGTTATGGCTGCATAGAGCAAGGACAGAGCCTCATCTTTTACTTGGTCCCTCTCTCTCTCTTGCTCAGGAGGAAGCTACAAGTTTAACTCATTCACAGCCGAGTTGTCAGCAGCTCTTGGTTGCTCGGCCAAAAGCTGAAATTGTCGCTGCTGTTGAAGAGTGGAGTCCATGGGCTGATCTCAGATTTTGAGGAGAGCTAAAAACAATCTGCAGGGCTGTAAAACAGAAGAGGCCAGGGGTAGTTAAACTGCTGAAGAGAGGATAGCTTTATTAGTGGAACATCAAAAGAAGAGAGGGTCATTAATGCCTGTTGAATGAAGAGAGATTAACAGGAATGAGGTAGACTTTTATAGCAACCACCTGAATAGAACTGTCACTGTTTCTGCCAGGCATTTGGTTTTAAACTCTGGGTGGTTCAGGGATTTAAAAGGGGATATGACTGCATCCCTCCTGGATCTGTCCCTGCTCAGCAATACTCCTCCCTCCATGCAGCTTCTGGAAGGAAGAGAAGGAAGCCATGTCAATGTCTCTATGCTTCTATTTTGGGCAGAAAACCAGCTTCCCTGCTTAAGACCAAACACCAATTTTCAAAAGCTAATTTTCAGGGAAAAGATGTGTGTGGTATGTAAGTAAATATGGTATATGAAAGCCAGTATGGAAGAGAGAAATAGGATTATTTTCTAGGACTAGGCTAGGGAAAAACAGCCTACCAAAGTGACTGAATTGTTAGTTTTGCATCTTTTACAGTCTTCCAAGCCATGAAAGGGTGGGTCATCAATTGGTTGTCAATCAAATGTGCATGCAATATACAAAGGTTCACAGATGACCTGATATTAGAGCTGTCACAGGAAAGGACATCATATAGATGGCTATAATGAAACCGTCTAAAGCAATTACAAGGGGTAAAGATGGTCATATCTCTTTTTTTTGTCCTTACTTTTCCTTGAGAATTAGCTGCATGTTAAAACTATTTTTAGCTTTATATGTAAAGGAAAAGCTGGATAAATTTATGTTGTTTCGTATCCATGGAGACTCTTTTTTTCTTTCCTAGGAACGGAACAGTTGCCTACTTGTTTATAGTATAGTAATTGATAACACATTGTAGCAACAGGAAAGCCAAACTGAGAAATGTATCTATGGATCAAGATGGGCTAGAAAAAGTAAGAACAGAAGCCTGGTGATAGTGATAAGTTCTGCTCCCTTCAGAAGGCACTTGTGTGTGACATTTTGAGTGGGAAAATTCTGAGACCGGCAGAAATTTAGAAAAGTAATATCATAATATCGTTGTTTCTTTTTGTTAGAATCATAGAATAGTAGGACCG